TTTAAAACCAACAACTGGTCTCCTTTGGTTCTTTAAAACCTCCAACAGCTGGTCTCCTCTGGTTCTTTAAAAATGTTGGATAAAATATCCTCTCTTCATCTTACTTACTCAAAGAAGCCACGCTTGATTACAAAAATATTTGAACCGGTTTTACTTGCAAGGGCAGATTTTCACAAGAGGTTACACAGATGTACAGAAGTTACAAGCATGGAGCCCAGTCACACGAATCTGCCACGGACAGTGTGCGAAGTTTGTTTTTATGATTATCAGCTCCCAGCTCACAGGCAGACCTGTGTCCTTGGACTGCCAACTGCGTATGCAGTGTCAGAGCAGCTCTTCATTCAGCTCTCTCTGAGAGAGAAAAGAACTCTCTGCTAACTCAAACACATGGATCACGGGCAGCTAACATTCTCAGCCATAGTACTGTAGTTAAAAACATCCATAAAACTTCACCAAAATTCCTTGACAAAAACCTCCCAACAACTGGTCTCCTCAGGTCCTGGACGTTTACAGACTGTTGTTCAAAGAAGAGGAGATTCATCACAGAGGGAACATGGACCTGGAACAACACGTTGAAGACATCCATCCATCCATCCATCCATTATCTTTTACCCGCTTCTTCCATTTTGGGTCACGGGGGACGGTGAAAACATCAAATTCTAAATTGCTGTCCAGATGACCCGACTGAAAATTGTTAGCTTGCTGGATTACTGAGCATGGACTTTTTTTTTTTTTAGCTAAATTGCTATAATTTTTATGGTAGAATATTTAGTTTCAACATTTGATATGTTCAGTATGTTCCACTGTGAATTAAATGTGGTTTTATGAGATTTGCAAATCATTGCATTCTGTTTTTATTTATCGAATACACAATGTCCCAACTTGGTCAGGACTGGGATTGCATGCCAAGACGTTGGTGGTTCAGTGTGTCTGTCACTGCCATAGGACTGATGCATTCTGTCCAGTCCTCTCAGAGGTCTAAGGTCACACATCCAAACTGTTATTGAGTTACTTTATGAGATCTGACCTTTGTCATCAAAACAGGAAGTCCAGGCTCTTTTTAACTTATAAATCTCATATATAAACTCTGTAGACATATAAAAATATCGGACCATCAGAACTCTCTGCTGCTCATGGGTCAAAAGTTGTTGGCTTTATTTTTAACACAATGGCTGTTTGTCTGAGGCTTACTTTTTATTCTGTGTTTCTGCCTAAAGTGCTGTTGGGTGCAACCAAACCCATTGTCACAATACAAAATGGGTGTTTTATCAGCATGGCAACCAGCGACTCAGCAGATTGTGTTTCTTCTATATTACCCAGCATGCTTCTCTTCCGCCTATGTTTCCATCATGGCTGCCCCCATAGATCCATCATGTCATCTCAAATCAGAGTGTTAATGTTCAGGAGGATTCAGTCAGACAGTTGGCATGGAAACAGGAAGATAACTGAACTCGGTGTTTCAAAATAAACCTTGGAGATACTCTTCAAAATAAAAGTCCTACTCGGTTATTACAAAGGTAATTCTCAAACTACTTTTAGGCTTTAAAGAAAGAAGCTGATGGATTTTGGAATCCCAGATAGTAGCTGCAATAGAACCCTTTAACAGTTCTGTAGACATTTTCTGCAAATTAAAATACCCAGAAAAACAAACAATCATGTTGTTTTTTAGTAGAACGGGCTTGTTTTGTTGTAGGTCAGTTTCTATGAAAGTGTTTTTCATTGCTAATAGAGAGTAGTCATATTTCTGTGTCAGAGATTTACAAAAATTAAAACTTTTGTCACATAAAGTTTACCATTGTCTTAAATCATAAGCTTTGTGATAGATCAAATTAATAATATTAGAATCATTACAGATTTTTACAATTTATTAACATATATCTTATGATGAATGTAAGACCTGTTAAGTCCTGAAAACAACTGGTTATTAATCCATTTTAGAAAACAATAATTAACTTCAACATCAGTTCCTTTCATCACAACTCACCGTTTATTTCAGCCGAAAAATCAAAGATTAATTCATAATAAAGATCAATAATTTCTGAACATCATGAAAGTCTGTACGATTGATAAATACATTTTAGTTTTATAGCTGTTCTTTTAACATTTTCATTAATGAAACTAGGAATGCTTTCGTATCCTGATTGTACAAAATTTTACATGAATTTAAACATAAAACAACTGAGAAATAAATAATAATAAAAAAATGTATCATCCATTTCGTACAAAATTAATGTTTTTCTCAGACTTAACATTGTTTATAGTTTAAAAATGACTTTAAAGATGAATTTTATCAACAAGACTCTTAAAAGAACTACGTATTTTAGACAGTTTCATTCCATATAAAATAGGGTTAAAGAGCGTTTGACATGTCATAAAATAAGCAGACGCAAAGTTTCCTGCAACCTGAAGCACGCTGGGAACACCGTTCATGTTCATCTTGTTTTCTAAAACATCGACAAAACAACCCAAAAAGAAGTTGAGCAGAGAAATTAAATGAGGAGTGCAGGTACTGACAGCTTTCTGTCGGGTCTGTTTGGATCCAGAAAAACACACTCTGATTATGCTCATGTATGTGCAAAATATCAACACTGCAGGGAAAAAGAAGACGAGGAACATGTTAACAAATTCATACATGTTGATAAATGAGACGTCAAAACATGCCAGCTTCAAGATGGAGGAGTTGTCACAGAAAATCTTGTTAATAATGTTTCCACACAGCTGCAAACTTGCAGTCATTGATATTAAAATCAAAACAGTAAAAAAAGGATAACACCACATGACAACAACAAGTCTAACGGTCTTATTAGTTGTCATCAGGGTGTTGTACTTCAAAGGCAAACAAATGGCAACATATCTGTCATAAGACATGACTGCAAGAGTTAAAAACTCTACACTTCCATATGAATAAAGACAGAAATCCTGCAGGAAACAAAGTGGAACAGAAACGGTGTGAACGTCTGAGAGAATCTGAACCAGCAGGAATGGAAACAAGCCTGAACTTCCATACAGCTCAGTTACAAACAGGCTGCACAGAAACATGTACATAGGTTCATGTAGACTCCTGTTCACACAGATAACCACGATCAGAACAACATTACAACAGATAATAAGTCCATACAGAAACAGGACCAACAAGAAAAATAAATATTTTAAGACTCCAGTGTCATAGTAAGCAGAAAATATGAAATATGAGACATTTGTGAGATTCATTATGATCCTTTCAGTTAAAACTCAGTTGAACCACTAAAAGTCAGAAACACAGATTAGGGTCTGAAACCCAAGTGACAAGACATGTTGTTCTGTTGTGATGAGACTGAAAGTGTCTCCAGTTGTGATGAAGTTTTGTCTTTTTAATCTTCTCACAGCAGCAGTCTGAGGCAAACTGTCTTCCTGTTGGACTCAGAGAAGGTGATTGTATGTTTGAATTGGCAGGGGATTGGTGTAGCTTCCATCAGAGTCATGTGATCCACGTTTGTCATCTGTGTTGCTTGTTGTTAGTTTATCATCATGGCGTATTTTTTTTGGTACGAGTGGAAACCTTTTCCCTAAAATTAGCTTAAAATATGTGTTTTTCTTGACAAGATGCTGCAAAAATCATCAGGAGACATTCACTGTTTCAAAACAAAAATAAAAACCCAAAGGTTTTATGTTCCTACTCCCGACAAAAATGGTTTAATATGCTTTACCGACATTGCCCTAGTTGACAACAAAACTGAATTATTTACAGAAAGTGTAGGTACCAACAAGAATCTTTTAAATTCAGTCTTGGTGTGAGAATCTGTTTTCCTGGTGTTTTTTTCTTGATGTTGTCCGTTCTTGCTGCACCTGTTCATCATTGTCCTTTCCCAGGTGTTAGTGTCCCTATAAGTTCTGCATCTTTGTATTCCCTTGTCATCTGTGGATTGTGTTCTCCATCCATCATGCTCTGTCTTCCTCTGTGTATCCTTGCTCCCGTAAATTTTTGCTGCCACTTTTATTTATTTAAATAAATATTAGTCTTTATTTTATTCCAGAATTCCCCAAGTCCTGTCTGCATAGCAAAGGACATGATATAATCCACAGTCAGACCCAGAAATGAACCCAGCAGGCTGCCTGTTCCTTGCAGAGGTCACTCCAGGGAACAAACATCGGACGCGCAAGATAACGTGGAAATATATGGCCCTTGTAGCCACCTCCAGCGACCTGTGTAGACACCAGCGCTCTTCAGGATATAAAATCCTTCCAGTCACAGCACATATGCCAGATTGTCTGAAGCTTCATGCAGACAAAATCCAGCACTTTTCAAGCCAAGTCAAGTCATTGTGATCATGTCCCTGTTTCTGCTTTCTGAAGCCCTGAACTTTGCCTGCCCCTGCCTGGTTTTTCTTATGTACTTTGATTTAATGTTTCTGACCCTTGCCTGACTTCTGACTCCTCTTTGCCTGTCCAATGTTTTACCTATCAGAATCAGCTTTATTGTCATTGCACCAAAGCACAACAAAATTACATCAGTGGATCCCATGTTAACCGTATCAGGACATTTCTCCTTCTTTGCTTCCTCTGTTGCTCATGGATTTTCCTTGAGCTTTTTTCCATCAGACCTGGAGGAACCCCTAACATTGGCCTATTCTGATCTAAACAAAATTGTGCTACTTGCCCCTTATCAGTTACTCATTTGTCTCTCTCTGCTTAAGTCTTCACACGATTCCTACAATCCTGTATCCGGCATTGCAGTATTCATCCTTCCAACAAAACTGTCAGGTCTTCTGGACAGATTGTTCTTTGTTGAAAGGTTTCATCTTTTATCCAAAATACTTTTTATTGGTGCGCCAACAAACTCAATGTTATGACTGTTTGTTGCAGCGCAGAACGATGAAATGTTTTAACAAAGAAGAATCTGTCCAGAGGACCTGACTTAACCTTGTTTGCTTATCTACCTGGATTATTAAGCACGCATCAGGATATCCATCCATCCATTATTTTCCACTTGTTCTAAGGTCGGGTCCCGAGCACAGCAGCTTGAGCAGGGAGGCCCAGACATCTCTTTCCACAGCCACCAGCTCTTCTGAGAGGATTTCAAAGTGTTCTGATGCCAACCGAGAGATATAGATTCTCCAGTGTGTCCTGGGTCTTCCCCAGGGTCTCCTCCCAGTCGGACATGCCTGAAGCACCGCCCTAGGGAGGCACACAGGGAGTATCCTTACCAGATGCCTGGACCACCTCAACTGGCTCCTCTTGATGTGGAGGAGCAGCGGCTCTACACCGAGTCTCTCCCGGATAACTGAATTTCTCACCCTATCTCTATGAGAGAGTCCAGCTACCCTGCAGAGGAAACTCATTTCAACCGCCTGTATCCACAATCTCATTCTTTCAGTCACTACCCAGAGTTCATGACCATAGCTGAGGGTAGGAACATAGACCGATAGCTTTGCCTTACAGCTCAGTTCCCTCTTCACCACAACGGAACGGTAGAGTCTGCAAAACAGCAGACACTGCACCAATCCATCTGTCAATCTCATGCTTGATTCTTCCCTCACTCATGAACAAAATCCTGAGATACATGAACTTCTCCACTTGAGGCAGAACCTCACCCTCGACCTGAAGAGAACAATCCATCGTTTTCTGACTGAGGACCATGGCCTCAGATTTGGAGGTGCTCATTCTCATCTCAGCTCTGCAGTATTTCTGTTTAAGCATAAATTTGGTAAATTGCTTCATTCTGTGTGGGCTGGATTTTTGGGTCCAAAGAATCCCAACTCATTAGACTTTGTGATAAAATATCAAAGTTTGAAATCCAACCATACTCAGAGGCTGTGACTAAATCTCAGAATTTTAAAGATGTTTAATCCCACATGCCTTATGAATATATTGACCCAGTTGGAAGCAGAAAGTTCAAAATGTTCAGGAAGAGTTGATCAAAATAGGACTTTAAAATGGCAGAATAGCATTTTGATCCCAAATGGCAGAGGTACTTTTGGGTTTTGGCCAAGAGACCTTTAATACGTCATTGTAAAGTCTACAAATGTACCAGATTTTGTGACCCAAACTATTTAGAGAGACAGGTCTTTAGGACATGCTGTGGAGCCATTTTTTTGTGATTTTTAGCCAATTTCCACCCTGACTGGAGTGTGTACACATTTTTTGACTCTTCATGCGTGTTCAGGTTTTCAAAAGTGCTGTTCATTACACAGGAGATGAAGAGAAGTCAGATACAATAGACCTGTGGAGCTCAGGCCTGATGAAAACCGGCCCTGTAGAGGCCAAAATATGCAACTGTCAGCTTCGTGAATGTCATGTCAAAAGCCACAGTGTATGTATAAATCTAAATGAATAATTTAAAAAGTTTCACATGAGAAAGATTTATGATTTTTATGGGAACTTCCATAACTACACACTTGTTGCATTTACAATATTTATGACAAAGTTCCAGAGCATTACCTTTACAGAGAGACCAAGCTTTTGAATTTATTCAAATGGTTCAAGAACATCATTTAATTTAATTTAATTTGGGTCCATTTATTCAGGTGTTTTTGGCCTCCTGGTTGGCAACACGTCTAGTTTTGTAGTAGCCCAGGATATTTATATTTACCATTTATGCTTGTTGTATTAGTCATTAATCAGCTGTATTGTGAATTATTATCCATAGTTCTTTTTTCGTAAACTTCAGATTGATAGATTTAGCAGAGCCTAGTTCTCATTCTGATGGTTTTCTGTAAGGAGATTTAGTTTTTCCACTATTGTGTTTGCTTTTTGTTATAATGATTCCTTTTTTTGTAAAGGACGGTTAATATAAAACTGAGCTGGTTGATTTGTTTTGAGGACTTAACATCTTCTCATTTTATTTCATATAAATTTTATACATCCAGTTGGTTTTTTTTCTCACATTTATTTGCTTTTTTGTCCCCCATCATGGAGCAAGAAGGGGGGGATTGAAAATACCCTCCGTCCGTCCATCCATGCATGTTTTAAATATAAAAACTTGAAAAGCAAGTGAGGTACCCACTTCTGTTTTGGTATGTGGCTGCATCTACACGTATGAAAGTTTCCTTTCAAAAATTGACAGGTCAATATCCAAGATGGCCACCACCATATATACAGTATACAGTAGTCCCTCCCTCGTTAATCGTGGGGGATCTGTACCCTGAAGCCCCGTGATAAGTGAAAACCGAAATTAAAACCTTTTTCAAACTAAGGGCCACTTTCAGAATCTACATTAACTCAAGTTAGATTCCCAACATCTCTTCTTGGTCACAGGTTTCTCCACAAGAGTTTGATTGGTCTCATTTGACATTCTCTGTTGCACTTTTAACATCATAATCAAAGATTACTGAAAAAAATTCAAGTGATAAAAGTATTTTACGTTTAAAATATCATCTCTGGGACCAGATAAGATGTCAACAAGGGCCACATTTGGCCCCCGGGCCTTGAGTTTGACCATGTGCTTTAAATGCTCTAAAAGAGCACAGAATGTCATGATTTCCTTCTCTCTGCCTCCGATGTTCTCAGCCACCTGCAAGCGCTCTCAGCCACGCCCACTTCTCCGCTCTGCACGGAGATCAGCAGATCAGCTGCAGCAGGAAGTTTATCCTGCAGTGTGGGCTGTACAGAGGTGCAGGAGGTGCTAAATAATTTAAAATAATTAATTTGAAATAAAAATTATATGCCATGGAAATTTGTGCGACTCATCCATCAATCAGCCATTATGTGCACTGTCCAATCTCATTTTGAAAAACGACGATAGAGTGATGTGTGTGTGTTGTCCAAACAGGCCACCTCAATCATTTAAGGAAACTATGCTTTCTAATTTTTATATTAATTAAAATTAAAGTTTCTTCAAATGATTGGGGTGGCCAAAGATTAATCTATTGTGGCCACGGCCACCTTTGGCCACCCCCTGGCTCTGTCATTGCACCTGGCAGTGGATGAAGTTGCTGTGTTTGCTCTCCAGGATCCATCACTCTGCACAGCCTTGAACAAGGAGAGACAAAACTCCTTCTGTTCTTCTCCACAGTGTAACTCGTCCTCACTTGAATATCTTGCACCACATTATTCATTACTTTCTGCCTTGTGGTAAAATATTCTGGTGGGAAGTTTAAAAATAAACCTATTTCTCAGTTAATGACATAAACCCCAACATTTATTTTACAAACATTAACTTATTGCATGTATTCTTCACAATAAACACATTTGCATCTGTTTAGCAATGTGATTCACGAGCCTGGATCTGTGCACAGCAGCTTAATTATGACCAAAGAACAGCTTTCTACAAGAGATGCGTATTTTCTGCAGTTGAAGCCCGTACAGAACGGGGTTAAGAAGCGGCTGACAGGTGACGAAGTAAAGGGAGAGAATAATACGCAGGATGCTAGGAACTTGGCTCATGTCGAATCTGCTCTGTGTTATCTCAAAAAAACAACCAAAGGAGAAGTTTAGCAGAGAGGCCAGGTGAGGCATGCAGGTGCTGATGGCTTTCTGCCGGGTTTGTTTGGATCCAGAAAAACACACTTTCAGGATCCTCACATATGTGTAAAAGATCAATGCAGCGAGACTGATGATCACAGTGAACGTGTAAAGGAGTCCATAGACGTTACTGAACATCGTGTTTCTGCACCCCAACTTCACAACACTGTGGTTGGTGCAATACAAACCATCAATAATGTTCCCACACAGCTGACAGGAGGCGTTCAGGGAGATCATCACAATTATGTTAGCCAAAGGCAGAAACCAGGAGAACGCAATCAGCCTGAGAACAAGGCTGCCAGACATCAGAGTGTGATACTGCAGAGGGTGACAGATGGCCACATACCTGTCATAAGACATGACGGCTAAGTTATAGAACTCTACGTTTGCATACATGTAGAGACAGAAGATCTGCAGGAAACAAAAAGGAACAGAAACAGAGTGAACGTCTGAGAAAATCTGAACCAGCAGGAACGGAAACAAGCCCGAACTACCATACAGCTCGTTTACAAACAGGCTGCACAGAAACGTGTACATAGGTTCATGTAGACTCCTGTTCACACAGATAACCACGATCAGAACAACATTACAGCAGATGACGGAGGCATAAAAACACATCATGAATACAAAAAACAAGTATTTAAAGAGCCCAATATCAATGTAGGCAGTCAGGGTGAAGTATGACACCTGTGAAAAATTCATCACATTAATCTGATGATGACTTCAGAAACAGAATCATGAATAATTATTAGAAACTGTGAGAGGTCACAGCTTAAAACACATTATATTTACAGCTTTGTTGAAGTTTAAATGATCTGTTAACGGTCAGCACAAAGAAACACATCAGGTGTGGATCCTCCCAAGTATACAGCAGTTGTCAAGCTGCGACTCCTGAGACCCCTCCGCTCCTTTTAACCTTTCCGTTCCCACAATGCACCACGTTCTCCTAATACCCAGGGTACACACTCGACCACTACTCACGTAATCTGAACTGGTTAAAAGAATAAACAGTTTCATTGCACAAAGCCCCATGTTGTAATTTTACTTTGAAATGTGTCAAAATCTTTACTTTCTGACAAATCTTTACCAAAGTGGTTGATTTGGTTCCTTAAATTTATTTATTCTACTGGTTTGTGTACATTTTGTAAGAGGGTCTTCACACCAGGCGACCACCACGCCGCAACAAAAAATCTGTTTGACAGGTCTTTTCAAGGTTTTCTGTGTGTACTAAGAACTCAATGGGCTCCTCGTTATTTGTGACAGTGTGGTAGGTGAACTGTTTTAGGCATGCACAAAACTTCCATAGTGAGGCTGAAGTGGCAGAACTTTAAGGTCCTGGGTATTGCATGGTGGTGGAGTGTAAGTATCCTGGTTACATAATGATTGCAGAGTATTGTAATCATCATCTGGAGCTATTCAGTCCATCTGGATGCCTTGTGGGCCACAGTCCAGGAGTTTCTAGCCTTACTGATGCCAAGGAAGAAGTGGGTAAAGATGGATGGATGCATGGATGGATGGATGGATGGATGGATTCATTCAACCTTTATTTAGACAGGTAAATCCCATTGAGCCTCGAGGACTCATTTACAAGAGAGACCTGATTTTAACAAAGAATGATGACAACAATGGACAACAGCAACAACAATAAACAGTTATAAAAAGTCATACAGATTTTTTTTTTTTTAAACAAATAGGATGGCTAAAAAAAGAAAAGTAACAAAAAACAGCTAGATTCTAAGGCGAATGTAGAAAACTAAAAACAAGAACATGTCTGCATTGATCCCTGCCAGGAGTCCAACAGATTCTTAGGGTGCATTCACACCAGCCCTGTTTAGTCCGCTTTAATCGAACTCTAGCTCGTTTTCCTAGAAAGTCCGGTTCGTTTAGGGAGGTGTGAACGCGCCATCGAACTCTGTCACGGAACAAAAAGGCGAACTCTGGCCCGGGCTAAAACCTAGGTCTCGGTCCGGTAGAAGCGAACTCCAGCGCGGTTCGAGTACAGTGTGAATGTAAACAGACCGAGCCCCGCTCCGCAGGGTAAACAAACACGCATTTCTCTTACCAGAGTTCGCGGTGAAGGTAGGAACATAAAAATGTTGCCTGGTATGAAACATAACATTACACGTTTTCTGCAGTGGTCTTCACACCTAATTTTAACATGAGGCAGTTTATCTTCAGATCAATAGCTCCAACGTGAGCACAACTCTTGAGTACAAAGAACGCAAAGCTACTTTAACAATCAAGTCAACGTTTGTTCCTTCAGGACATTTTAAAAACAATAATAGTTGATCTAAGTGCATTACTAGGTAAAGCTCAATAAGTTAAACTAAAAAAACAATACCCTGTGGGAGGAAACAGAGTACCCAGAGAATACCCATGTGTGTACAAGGAGAACATGTAGACTCCACCCAAAAACAGTTGGGGTATATCTTGTGTCCTTCCCACTGAGAGGCAGCAGCTCCAACCACTGCACCATCATTTCGCCTGCGATTAAACATGCTTGGTTGTAAATCCTGATGAATAATGATGGGTCCTGTTTTGTGGGCGTCTCTCTGTCTGAAGCCTTGAAGGGAACCAGACTCGGATCTCAGCTCCGTCAGGAGTCAACACGATTCAACCAGTGTCTTGACTTTCTCCTGTTAGATTGAGGTTTTCTTGATGTTTACACATACTGTTTGTGTTGTTTCTCTATTTCAGTCATTTGTAAAAACTTTTGACCTTTGCACAGTTCCTCAGAATGTAACATTTATTAGTGATTAGTTTAGCCGCTGAAGGTCTTTATGATTACTTTACAAACAAAAAAACAAAAAAAGAAAATGAACTCTTCACATGTTTTTTATTTCACTCTTCGAGGCTACATTGATATCAGTTTGTGCACACATTGTTTTTTTGTGATTTTTATGATTATATATGTAGTAATCATTGGTTGTAATGTTGTTCTGATCGTGGTCATCTGTGTGAACAGGAGTCTACATGAACCTATGTACATGTTTCTGTGCAGCCTGTTTGTAAATGAGCTGTATGGAAGTTCAGGCTTGTTTCCATTCCTGCTGGTTCAGGTTCTCTCGGACGTTCACACTGTTTCAGCTCCATTTTGTTTCCTGCAGGTCTTCTGTCTTTATACATATGGAAGTGTAGAATTTACTAACCTAGCTGTCATGTCTTATGACAGATATGTTGCTATTTGTCAACCTCTTCAATATAAAACAATAATGTCACAAAGGAGAGTTGTTTTTCTGATATATGTCATATGGTTGCCTCCTTTTTTAGCCGTCAGTGTCACAACCTGTTTGAGTTTATCGTTGCAGCTCTGTGGGAATGCAATCAACAGAATTTTCTGTGACAATCACTCCATCATAAAACTGGCTTGTTCCGAGCCCAGAGTTAATAATGTCTACGAGCTGATCATGACTTTTCTTACAGTCTGCGTTCCAGTATGTGTGATTCTTTACACCTACATGAGGATCCTTAAAGTTTGTTTTTCTGGATCCAAACAGACCCGACAAAAAGCCGTCAGTACCTGCACACCTCACCTCATCTCTGTTGTCAGCTTTTGTTTTTGTGTTCTCTATAAAATACTTGAGAGCAGGTTTAACGACAACAATGTTCCCAGATTGGTCAAAATATGTTTAGTGCTGTATTTTCTCACCTGCCAGACAGTCTTTAACCCAGTCCTGTACGGCCTGAGTTTGTCTAAGATCCGAACTGTGTGTCAGAGACTGATACTGCAGTCTTTGGGAAAAAATGAACAGTTTTGTTTGAGTTTCAGGGAGAGAAGACATTTTTAATTAAATGTATCTCGCTGAAATGCAATGCCTGTAATGCATTCTTCAGATAAAAAAAAGCTTTTAGGTAAAAACCTTTTTGCAGAATTGTATTTTTTATTAAAGCTGAACTTTGATGTGGAAAAAAGTACAATATTTATAAATTACATTTTAAACGCAGAGTAAAAAACCCCCAACTTTTCAGCTTTTGATCAACAAAGTAAAAGTAAAAGACTCGTGACCACAAATAATGCTGCTATTACTTCAACTGAATTCAGTTTATTCATTTAGCTCCAAATCACAACTGAAGTTGTCTCAGGGCACTGAACAAAAACACATACATTATAAAAGCCTATTAGTAAAAGTTATCTTTGTAAGAAAGCCATAAGATTGTGTTGAACCTTCACTTTGTTGCAGTCTCCCATCCTGAGCAAGCACAAAGGCGACAGTGGAAAGGAAAAACTCCATTTTAACAGGAAGACACCTCCAGCAGAACCAGGCTCAGGACGAGCAATCATCTGCCTCAACTGGCTGGGTTTGAAAGGACAGGAAGGAGAAATAGACTAACACAGAATGACAGGTCCAGGTTTACTTTCTATAGGAGGACAGACAAAAACACACGTTAAGGATAGAAATAACTACAAATAAAAAACAGGTAGAGTAGAGCAAGTAAAAACAACAGCAGAGTGATGAAATGTGGTCAGTTTGTCCTCCAAAAATCTAAGCTTATATGATCATAACTAAGGGATAGCTCTAGAAACCCAAGCCGATCCTAACTATAGGATTTATCAAAAAGGAAAGACTTAAGCCTAATCTTAAAAGCAATGTGTCAGCCTCATGGACAAAAACTAGAAGTTGGCTCCAGAAGAGAGGAGCCTGATAACTGAAAACTCTTCCGGCCATTCTGCTGTTGGGAACTCTAGGAACCACAAGTAAACCTGAAGTCTGAGAGGGAAGTGCTCTGTTAGGAAAAAAATGGAACAATAAGATATGTAATATAAGATGGAGCTAGGTTGTTGAGATCTTTGTAGGTTACAAGTAAGATTTTGAATTCTATTCTTGATTTGACAGGGAGCCAATGGAGAGAAGCTAAACTGGAGAAATATGATCTCTCCCAGTAACTCCAGTTAAGACTCTGGCAGCAGCATTTTGGATCA